TTTTTTTATTTTGTAAGACAAACAACTAAGGATGGTCTTTGAACAGTTTTGACTTTTATTAATAAGCATGCTTCTAGGTTTTTAGGGCTCAGAAGATAATTTATGTCCTTCTAGAATTATTTTTACCTTGTCTTATCATAGCTAGGAATTCAGACTTATCACTTTTATTGATAACAAAGTTGAGCACCAGGAAGTTTGCACACTTGACTCAGGCCACCAAAAAGACTATATGCCAAGGCTGGAATCTGACCTCTTACGCTTCTGAATGACAGAACTTTTGTGCATTAACTCAAGTCACCCAAGTTCCAAGTCCTCTTGCCTTCCAAACTGCTTTCACCATATTTTATGGATTGATGTGTGTCCCCCCAAAAGAAGTGTTGAAGTCCTAACCCCCAGAATCTGTAAATGTAAACCTATTTTTAAATAGAGTCTTTGCAGATGTACTGAAATTAAGATGAGGTCACATCAGATCAGAGCAGGTTTTAATTTGATGACTTATAAGAAGAGGGAAACTTGGACACACACACACAGTGGGGGGAATACCATGTGAAGATGAAGGAGAGATTGGAGTTATTCTGCCCCACTTAAGGGATACCAAAGATTGCTGGCAACCACCAGAAACTAGAGAGAAGCAAAGAAAGATCTTCCCCTACAGCTTTCACAGAGAGCATGGCCTTGCCAACGCCTTGATTTTGGAACTGGAGCTTCCAGAACTATGAGAGAAGTCTCTGTTGTGTTAAGCCGCACAGTTTGTGGCCATTTGATATGGCAGCCCTAGGAAATGAATGCACTATATCCAGTGCACTTCTTCCGGGAAGGAAGAGATGGAGCAAGAGGAAAGGTGTTAGGCTCAGACATCATGAGGAACAAAGACGGAAAGTCTTGAGGAGTATGTGCATTCTGCTCCTCATTCCCTGGCCAGGAGAGGAACAGAGACCCCAGGGTCACCCTTAGCAAGCACGAGTCTGCCATCAGCCTGGCTTCGGATCTTGCTATACTTGGGCACGTGGCTGGCGGAGCAGGGAAAGGGTGTGCTGCTAGGGACTAGCCATTTGCCTAACAACTTCACTACAAATTCCGCCAAGTATCCTGGGCACATGTAGGGAATAAAAGACAAGAGAAAAATCAGATTTCATGTGGGAGGCTGAACAGATTGTGCCTGATAACATGAGACAATTAGAGAATCAGCAAAGAGAAAGAAAGATGGGCTGTGAACCAGATAGGAATAAAAATAGCTGCTTAGGGGGGATGATGTTGGTGAGGATGATGATGATGATGATGATGATGAGGCTATCAATGATAACAATCTCTCACATTTGTTAGAACTTTGTGGTTGGCAAAGCACTTCTAATTCATGATGTTGTCTAATTTTTGGCTAGTTAGGAAGGCCACTGGGGTGGGTGGGGCAACAGGTCCTGGGACTTGTGCTTGGCACCGACTCCCAGGTTCTGCCTCTGTCAGTGTGTGCAACAGAGCCGAGCTGACGTTGGCATCACCCTCCACTGAGTCTCCGTGTCAGGAGGTAGTCATGGAAACTCACTCTCTTCCTAAACTGATGAGGAGAGAATTAGGTAGAAAGTAGGAATCAAGTTAATTGCCTGTCATTCCCTCTCTGCTCTTTGTGTGTTGATTCAAATTAAGCTTTTTCAGTTTTCTGATGTCAGCAGATACCAGAGGATGAGAGCACAGGCCTGGGAGTCAGGACCTGCAGGAAACAGCCAATTGTGAGCAAATCCCTGAGGCTTTCTGCTTCTCTGTTTAGTTCTGACCCAAGCATTCAGGAAAACAAATCTCTTTGCCTGACCCCGCCACCCCCCGCCACCCTGCCCCTCGATTTCTGACCCAAACCCTCTGAACTGCCTTCATTTTAACCATCTCTGACTCTACATCCATTCAGCCAGCCATTCCTCCTCTTGCAGAGAAAAGAGCAAAGAATTCAAATTGAATTCTGCGTTTATTGAAATTCACTATAGCTCAGAGGGAAGTAAATAAGTCAGTTAAGTAAGTCATCTGTGATGTGTGTTGCCCACATGGAGGGAAATGGAGGAAAGATCTAGAGGTTTTCTGCAAGGGGTATCACCACTAGCTCAGTTGTCACCTGAACAGAGCTGGAGGAGGTCTCCAAAGATGAGGCCCTTTCCTGTCCTATGGGCTCTTCTCTACAGCCAGATGGAATTATTTGAGATTCCTTGCATGCTGCTTGCTTGTTCTCATCTTCAGCTCTTCACAGGTTTTCTCTGCCTGGAACACCCTTCCTACTTCTTAATTATGTCTTAACCCTGACAGTACTTGTCTGGGAAGCCTTCTTGGGGCTGAATATAGGACTTCCAAAAACCATGAATTTCCTCTACTATAGACAAAGAGCAGGTCATCAGTGTACACACAAATGTGGCTTCCCCACTGTACTACAAACTTTGGGGGCAGGGACCCTGTCTCGCTCGATGATATTTCCCAGCACTAAGCACCATGCCTGGCACCTAGGAGGTGCCATTTAATAAATGGGCCTTCCTTGAAAGGAATTTTAGAGGATGGTGTTCTGGAAGAAGAAAATATTTACTTATGATCTAGAGTTGAGTGTTGGTTGTAATCTCTCTGGATTTCCGTGCTATTTGCATTTCACCCCGATAATATGGCCAGCTCTGAGGCTTCTTCAGGCCCCAGAACAGGTTTGCCCCAAGAACTCTGCCCTGCTTCATTCAGGCCAATGTCTCTCCTGGCAGTTTTGGCCATGCTGGCTCTGAAAGCAGCGAACTCTGAGGTTAAGTGCTGGTTCATGGTGGGAACTACAGAGGTAGAAGGGCTAGAATGAAGAATCCCAGGCTGAAGAGGCTGAAAAGAGTGTTTGGAATTCCTCTAGAAGGCTCTTCCTGGATCAGAAGAAAATTCTGGGAAGGGGATGTTGTCTCAGATTAGGAATAAGAGGCCACTGGGCTAGGGGAAAAGATGCCTCTCAGTTTAACGATGAAGGTGACAGGATGACTTTCTCCTTGTATCTATCTGGAGTTCATAGTTTTTATAGAAGTGTTCAGTATATTGGCACGCTTGTCTGTCGGGAGTGAACGGGGACAATAGTTCTGGACTTCGGTTTCCTTTTATATAGATAAAAGAGAGAATAGAACCAAATGCTCTCTAAGGTCTGTTGCCTGATTTTATACAAATAGATTATGAATTTGCTGTGTGACTGTTTTAGAAGTTGAACTTGGCAGGAGAGTGAGAGCAGTGTGTTGCGCTGGCCGCTTCAGGGGCCAGTTTAGGGGCAGAGGTGGCTCAGGTAGGCTGAGGCTCTTCCAGGGACCCTGGCTCCCTTTTTTTCTCCCCATCTTTTCCTCCCACCCCTTTCCCTCTCTGGTGGAAGGCAGTGTGTCATGGTGCTTAGTTGGACAGGCTTGCCAGTCAGGTAGACGTACACTCGAGTCCCAGCTCTGTCACTTACTGTGTATGACCTGGGCCAAATTTCTCGACCTCCCTTAGCCTGTTTCCTCACCTCCAAAAACTGAATTTATCTTTTTAAGGTCATCCTAAGGTTTTAATGGCTTGGTGGCAAGGAAGGATACACCATATTTGCCATCCTTCTTCCTCATAAATATATTAATACTGACGCTATGTTTTTATTTTTAGAACTCTCGTTTTGACATGGAATTTTATTAATTTTAACTCACTGTCCTATTTGTTTTCTGTTTATTTTGCATGGAAAAACCTAGGATCATGTCCTTTTACTTCTTTAGATATGTAACAGTCTCAGTCCCCAGTTCTGCTTGCCGCGTAAACCTCTTGAGCTAGATGGCACGAAGTACAAGAACTAGTGGGCACAAAGAATTTTCCCACTAGACTTACAATATGAATACTGTTTTAGGCAATAACATTTTAAAAATGCTGGCATTAAAAGCATTCAGGAGTAGCAGGTAACAAAGTTGCTGGGGGTATATATTTGCTTCTTATACACTTAAGGGTTAGAGGAATAAAGATGGGGCAAAGAAGCCTTGGATTCTTCGTTAAATTCTTGTGCACTTAAAAATTTTACCAGCATTACAGTGGGCATCTGTCACACCTATGCACTAACAGCCCTTCACAGTAAATTTACTGAAGTTCAGGATGATAACACTTCATAAATTATCCATAAATTGTATCTGGATTCTCTAGTCAATGAGAAATAGCTTCTGTAGGTAAAAAGGGAAGTAGTGAGACTATTCAGGTTCCTTCTAAATGCAATTTGAATGACATCGACACATTATTTCTATTATGCCTTTCATTTCAGTTGTTGGAGTGGTCCTGTTCAGGCTCTGCACTAGACCTTTATGAAGACTGTCCATGTGATGTCTTTGGACAGCTACTCTGCCTGGTGCCCCCGGTTCTGAGGTCCTCTGACAGTCTAGGGGAGTCCCTATCACCCTTACATGTAAATGAACAAACACAGGAGCAGGTGGTGGGCTCCTTGAGGGCAGGAGCTGTCTTCTTCATTGTCATTGATCCAGAGCCTGGGAGGTGACTGGCACTTTGTAGACATTAAAAACTTAATGGGGTTTAGGGTCTCAGAGTATTGGGTCTCTGTTAAGCAGGAGATGAAGATGCCTCGGTAGGAAAACCCTATGGCGTTATGAAAAGTGTATTGAAGGCATGTTATGAACCATACGGTTGAAACGGATACCACAAGTGGGAGCCACCATTCCTTTTTCCCTTAACATCCTCATCCTGAATTATTCTGGAGTTGAGTCTCCAAGAATAAGGGAATGGAGTCAGAGGGCCTTCTTAGTGAGAACTACAGTGCAGGGGTAGCAAGATTTGAAAGGAAGCTTGGGTCCCAATGTGGGACAATGTCTCGCTCAGGGTGAGGAATTTCCCTCACCAATGGCATCCAGATTCTACAGAGAGGTAGAAGCACTGGCCATGCCCTTATAATTCAGCATATAGTAACCAAAAGAATGACCAAAAGTGTATGGGCCCACAACAGTACAAGGTCAGCCTGACAGTTTAATTAGAGGCTTGACAGAAGAGAGTGTGGCTATTCTGCAAGATGGTTTACTGGCTGAGATTTCAAGGACCCCCGGCAAGTTGACAATTATGAGATCTGTTCATTTTTTCTTCACTGTGATGAATCATGCCTCTGATGACAATTTTGTGTGTGTGTAGAGTCATGTTTTATCAGCTTCTTTCTGAATTATTGCTTGTCACTCGGGGACCTCCCAACCACTTGGAGCTTGAGAGGATGAAGTCAGATTTTAGCTGGGGAGGTAGAACATTCTGTTTAGGAGGAAGCAGTTGGTTATACCTGCTACTCAGGGAGGTCCTGCCTCTGCGAGTCTTCTTCCTACCCCACGCCAGAGAACACAGCATAGTCTTTTTGAGCAGACCCTGGCCAGTGGCTCAATGGCCTGGCAGCTAAGGGTGGGCACAGGGAGTACGCTCTCTTCTCCTTCAGCAAGACAGGATCTTGAGGAAGGCTTTACGGAACTCGACATTGAAGGTGGTATAGATCACGGGGTTGAGGGCACTGTTCACGTAGCCCAGCCACGTGGTGGCGCTGTAAAGCTCTGGGGACACGTGGCAGGCTCGGCAGTGGGTATTGAGAACGTGGGTCAAAAAGAAGGGCAGCCAGCAGACAATGAAGGCCCCTGGGTTGCAAAGGAAGAGAGAAACTGGGTCAGGGGTAATGCTTACTCCTTTTGTTATAACATGAAAATGACTCATGTTTGTTTGCTTTGTGCCAGCCACCATGCTGGAATTTTACAGACCCATTTAATTTTTACACCAACCCTATGAAGTAGATGTGATTAGCCACTTCTTTTTTCTTTTTCTTTTATTTTGGATGAGAAAATTACATGCTTACATCTTTGATTCATCTCAGGCCTTTGTTCCTAAATCAATTTTCTAGTTTGATATTTAGGTAGCTCTTTACTAGTCTTTTCTACTTCTCAGTTCAATTCAAATATTTATTTAATGGCTAGCCGTGTGAGACATGATCCTAGGCACCGATAGGGAAGAAGACCTTAAAGACCTGACAGTTCCTGCTGTTGAGATTACATCCAGGTGTTCTCATAAAGTCCCTGAGATATGAGAAAGTGAGGTTTGTCAGTGGCAGTGAACAGGATGAATTGCCTTCAGTAACTCTATATGCTATGTGTGACTTATCAATTTTTTTCTTTATTCAAATACATTTTTTATTTTTTCTACTATAAAAATTAACCCTGATTTTGTACATTATGGAAAACTTGGTAAATACAGAGAAGTAGAAAGAAGAAAAATAACCACCTACCACTCAAAGACAATCACTTTTGACATCTTGGTGAATTAATTTTCATGTTTTTCTTTGAAATAATCTCGATGTTATCACACCATATGACAGCAGTTTTTTGCATCCTTATTTTTTCACTTAATATTTTAGAATAAATAAGCCTTTATTAAATATCCAATATGTGCCAGACACTTTTGTTGAATTATTATCTTATTTATTATTTGATTTATCCATTATAATCTCACGTGATAGACAACAAACACAATGGATAAACGCAGTTCAATTAGGTCACTTGTTCAACTTTGTATTTCATATTTTCAGCCCAGATCTGTTGAGTTTTCCCCAGAGTTAACATTGATATGCAAACTCTTCTCAATTGTATCGCAAACATTTATAAATATTACTGTTATTGAATTTTCATTTCTGACAAATGTGGTTCCTTAGTACCCTCTGCCAGCTCCACCAAACTCAACCTAACCCAACCAAATTCAACCCAACTCAACCCAACTCAACATGACCCAAACTCACCAAGCACAATGGCCAGCATCTGGGTTGCCTTCTTCTCCCGAAGTGGCACTCCACGAGGCTGCAAGGGCCCCAGCTTTAGAGATGTCGACAACCTGCCATTACTGAGTTTTCGAACCTCTAAGCTGAGCTTGGGTGCCATGGTGGGGCTGAGGGAGTTCCGAGTCCTCCCCTCCCTTTTCAACTCTCCTCCGGCTTCTTGGAAGACTGATCGCCCCGAGGCAGTATCTTGGCAGATGCTGTAGTAGCGCTTCAGCTCCATGTGTGCCTGGCTAGGGGAGAGTGGCTGCAGGTGGGACAAGAGAGGGTCCTGACATTTCTGGGGATACTGTTTATCTTCTGAAGGTTCCTGAAAAGGAAAGAACATGCAAAGAAGTTAGAGGAAATCATCATTTTGTGAAACCTACTGAGGGCACATCCGAGAGTAGTGGGATCATGAAAAGTTAAGGTACATGAAATCTGCTTCTGACTTCACAACTAAAAAACACCTACCAGATATAGAACATTTGAGAATCACAATAGTCCCTTGAGGAGGGTTGTATAGGACTATAGCCTGGCCTTTTTGAGTTAGAATGAGCTGGATATACAGAGGAACATGTGAAATGATGCTACTAAGATGTAAATCACAAAATCTGGAATGTGGGAAACTCTGTAAGACAAATGACTCAGGTTTTTTCAACAAATAAATCACAACAACAATAACAATCCCATTTGCCAGTTGCAAAGTATGGGTCTTATTTGAATTCTGATTCAAATAAACCAACTATGAAAAACTTACAAGACAACTGGGATAATGTGAACACTGATTGGATGTTTAATGATATTAGGGAGTTATTTATTTGCTTAGGGTGATATATTGCAGTTATACATTTTATAAAGAATCTTCCTTAGAGAGTCTTACAGAAATATTTTTGCTGAAATGTTATGATGTTTGGGATTTGCTTCATAAGAATCCAATGGGCATGGGTGAGTGTAGGGGGAGTGCAGATGAAATGAACTAAGATTGGCCGTGAGTTAATTGCATGAGTTAATTGGCCATGAGTTAATTGTTTTTCTACTTTTTTATTTTTTGAAAATTTCCATAATAAAAAGTAGAAAGAAAGAAAGAAAGAAGAAAGAAAGAAAGAAAGAAAGAAAGAAAGAAAGAAAGAAAGAAAG